TCTCCTCAGCTTAGGGATGGGTATGAAGTTAGAAATGGCTCCCCAACAAACAACAACAATAACCTCTTACATCAGTCGTTTTCAAAACCCACCTTGCCTTTCCCTAAAAGTTCTCATTCAAAGGGAAAACTGGGTTCTTGAACCCTAACTTGTACTTTAGTTATATCTGGTTTACTTTTACCTATTTTATGCATTAAGTTTCTGCATAGGACTTTTTTAAAAAATGTTTCTGTGACTAAACATACATTTGAGAACTATCATTAGATCCTCAGAATTGACCTTTGAGGAAGGCATAAGAGATATTAGTTCTATTTTATTGCCTTAAACCCAAGCTATCCTGCTTCCAGAACCTGTAACCTATTAGCTCTCCTTGAGGCTGTGCAAATCCCACTTCTGACACTATAAGCCTTTAAGGTACTATAAATATGGCTTGTCAAGTTCTAGCGGGACTGCACTTGGGCTTTGTTTCTACAGCTCACCCCCACTTGATCAGGCTATCTTCAGAAATGGTGCCCCAAACCAGGGGTATCTTGGATACCCCCTGGTAGACATCCCAACTAATGAGGAGCCCCCAACATGACTCCTCAAACTCAATCCAGTTTCTCTGCCTCTCTGTCCCTAGAATCATGTCCCCAAGGAGGAATCTGGCGCTCCAAGAGGGGAGGGGCCAGCCATCCCAGGAGACACCCCACCTCCCACTCCCCGCTCTGCCCGACTTGAGAGAATGACCCAGGCCTTGGCACTACAGGCAGGATCCCTGGAAGATGGGGGCCCTTCAAGGGGAAGGTCAGAAGAAACAAAGGATGGGATAGGGATGGGTTTGCTTGGGAGGATCAGATGGGCATGGACAAGGACTTGGGATGAGAGGGGATATCCAAGATGGGGTCTGTTCTCACTCTGTCTTGCTCACCCAGTGAGGGTACCCCAGATTCCCTGCACAAAGCCCCCAAGAAGAAGAGCATCAAATCATCCATAGGCCGTCTCTTTGGGAAGAAGGAGAAGGGGCGAATGGGACCACCAGGCNATATATATATATATATATATATATATATATATATATATATATCCCCCAGTCAGTACTCACAATTTCCCAATACAACAAAGACTGTGTCCCCAAATACCAAAATTCTCAACCCAGTACATCAAGAATCCTCCAGTACACCATGGATTTCATGACTTCACACAGCCAGGACCAAAAAAGTCCCAGTATCCCAAGAATCTCAACACAGCACAAGCTCCTCATCCCAAAACAAGAAGAATCTTACCCTAGCACATCAAGAACTGCAACTCTACATACCAAGAATTTCTACCTAATATAACAGGAATCCTCAGTTTATAAGAATCCCCCATCACATGAATTCCACCCTGATTCCCCAGCAATGGCCCTATTTAGCAATTCTCTAATAATACTCTCCATGGGCACCAGCAAATATGCCAACATGACCATTACCTTCCATTCAAACTTGTTCTGACTTGAGGCATCATCTCTCACATACTGAATGACTCCAAGATCTTTCCAGATCCTAGGTTGACCTCAGAATCCCTGATCTCAACTTGATCTTATTACAACCTTGCTTTTTGCCATCCTCTTTGGAACTTGACCTCTTGCCCATAGTAATCCCTTTATAATTTTCCAGAACTACTTGGTTATCATCAGGGTCACCCTGATGCCAACCCTGATCGTCCTCCCTAATCCCTCATGACCTCTTGAGCCTATCATGACTCCTTGATTCCCCTTGAACTTGTGAGGCCATCATGAATCCACCAAGGCCCTCTAACCTCACTATGCCTTCCCCAGAATTCTTTTTTGCCTCACCAAGCTTTCTGGCCCATTGGGATCCCCAGACTCCTGCTCTCATTGTCGGCATCAGTCATCTCACCCAATCTCTCCCTTTCCCTCCTCAGGCTAATCCAAGAGGAGAAGGAGACAACAGAACAAAGGGCAGAAGAGCTGGAGAGCCGGGTGTCTGGCTCCGGCCTGGACTCACTGGGCCGCTACCGCAGTAGCTGCTCACTACCCCCATCCCTCACCACCTCTACCCTAGCCAGCCCATCCCCTCCCAGCTCCGGCCACTCAACACCCCGCCTGGCACCCCCTAGCCCTGCCCGTGAGGGCACCGACAAAGCTGTGAGTGTTCTGAAGTCTCCTCAGCTTAGGGATGGGTATGAAGTCTGAGTCACGAGTGCAGGGTCTGGAGTCCTGCGGGGGAGGAGCCTGGAACTCTGGGGTCAGGCCTGGTACCCTGTCTTGGAGGAGGGACTGGAGCCTGACTGGGTCCTAGTGGGGCAATATCATATGTCGTGGGTTCCATTCCTTAGGCTGAGGAACGTCATGGGAATTTTGAGGAGCGGCTTCGGCAGTTGGAGGCCCAGTTGGAGGAGAAGAACCAGGAGCTGCAGCGGGTAAGGGGAATGAAGACTGCAATGAGGGCGGGGTTTTGAGGCTGCGGGAGGAACTTAGATGAGTGGGTGGGCTGGGGGCGGGAGCTTAGGGCAGGGGCGGTGCTCTGGGCCAGGTGAGCTTCAGCACTCTTGACCCCCTTTCCTTTGGGCAGGCCCGGCAGCGGGAAAAGATGAACGATGACCACAATAAGAGGCTGTCCGAGACAGTGGATAAACTACTGAGCGAGTCCAATGAACGGTTACAGCTTCATCTCAAGGAGCGAATGGGGGCGCTAGAGGAGAAGGTGCGCCCCAACCCAGGACTCCGATAACCAGGCATCTTGAACTGCCTCTTGCCCAAATCCCGGGGCCCCAGATCTTTTCCCTAGATCCATTATCTGAGCTTTCCCTAACCTGGCTCTCCCGAATTCAACAGATTTCTCTGCTCTATTCCAGGGACCACTCTTTCACCTAATCTAAACACCTCAAGAACTGAATTCTGGGGCACCCATATCCTGAGCTCTTGGCTTTTCCCCAAGCCTCTAACCCTATGGACCCTCGAACTGAATCCTCTGATTACACAGGATGAGGAATTCTGGGGCTCCCAGGGACTCCCCTTCCCCACTGCATCTTTGGCCCTACAACCCTCATGCCCTCCAGCTCACCGTGCAAGCCCTCCTCATTCCCCCTGGGGTCTCTCAGGCCCCCAGAGTAGTCCCTTTCAGGCTTCACCCCCTCACGGCACCCCTGTTCCCTACAGAATTCACTGAGTGAGGAAATTGCCAACATGAAGAAGCTTCAGGACGAGCTGCTCCTCAACAAAGTAGGGAGGGGCCTTGAGGGGAGGACCAAGGAAACGGAGCCGGCATTGCTGGGGTTGTAATCAGCCCGGCTAGGAGGGGCTGTTCCTTTGGGCACATTCTGACCTGACACCTCCAATACCCTCCCACAGGAGCAGCTCTTGGCAGAGATGGAGCGAATGCAGATGGAGATCGACCAGCTGCGGGGGAGGCCACCATCCTCCTACTCCAGGTGACAATAACTTTCCTGCCCCACTTTTGCTTATGGACCTTCTTGGCCAAGCTCATCCTTTCTGATCCCCTGGTCTCCCTCACTCCCATTCTACCTTCCTGAGACTTCCACTGATTCCTCTTATTTTTCATCCCAACTTCATGACCCGACCCCAGACCCTTTTTCCTGACCTTTGACTTCAGACCCCTCTCCTAGTCCCCTGACCCCAGGCCCTTCCCTGTGACCCTTTACCTCTGTTTCCTTTTCCTGACCCCTTGGTCTCTGACTGCCCTCTCCATGCCCACAGGTCTCTCCCTGGCAGTGCCCTGGAGCTCCGTTACTCCCAGGCACCTACATTACCTTCTGGTGCCCACCTGGATCCCTACGGGGCTGGCAGTGGCCGGGCAGGCAAGAGGAGCCGCTGGTCAGGGGTCAAGGATGAGCCCTCCAAGGTCAGCAGCCACCTCTGGGGCCTGGCCTGGGCAGGGGTTGGGAGGGCAACAGTGGGAAATAGGATCTAATACGCAGGGCTCTGGAAGGGGACTGGGTTGAGAAGCAGGGTCTCCTGGAACCATGCTATCTTCTCTCCTTCTCCCACAACTCCATCATCCCCACCGCCTGGATGTCTCCTCATGTGAAAATCCTGTGGCCTGGTGAGAACCTTAGAGGAATGATAGGGTGGGGAGAGGGATGGGGTCTCGGGAACAGCGGGCAGGGTGTGGAATCCTAGAATAGATGAAGTGAAGACAGGAAGTGGACTGGGTCAAAGGAAACAGTGAAATCAGGGGGAGGGGGTGGAGTCATGGGTGAGGGTGTGGTCAAGAAAAAACCTGTCAAGAAAGAAAACTGGGCTGGAAGAAAGTGGGGGCTGGATCACATGCTTAGGGCAGTCTGTGTCAGAGGACATGGTCAGGGTCAAGGAGGGTGGGCAAGGCCAGGAGAGTTGAAGGAAGACCCAGGGCCTACCTTGGCCCCTGCCCACTGTGTCCCTCTGTCTCCACACAGAGACAGGAATGGGAGCGATCTGCCCCTGCGGGGTCCATGCCACCCCCATTTCCTGGGGAACTGGATGGCTCAGATGAGGAGGAGACGGAGGGGATGTTTGGGGCTGAGCTGCTGTCCCCCAGCGGGCAGGCCGATGTGCAGACACTGGCCATCATGCTTCAGGAGCAGCTGGAAGCCATCAACAAGGAGATCAAGTGAGCGCTGGCCCAGTCCTGCTCTGCTGCCCCGCCTGAGCTGATCCCACAGCCCCTCTGGCTCTGAAACCTGATCTAAAGGCCAGAACCCATCTCCACTCCCACCATCCTCAAGGAATTCTCCCAACCCAACACTCCAGTGGATACTGGATACTCCCTCCAGTATCCAGGAATCCCCCAGGATACACCCAGAAGTCTCTTCTGTGACATATATATATATATATATATATATATATATATATATATATATCCCCCAGTCAGTACTCACAATTTCCCAATACAACAAAGACTGTGTCCCCAAATACCAAAATTCTCAACCCAGTACATCAAGAATCCTCCAGTACACCATGGATTTCATGACTTCACACAGCCAGGACCAAAAAAGTCCCAGTATCCCAAGAATCTCAACACAGCACAAGCTCCTCATCCCAAAACAAGAAGAATCTTATCCTAGCACATCAAGAACTGCAACTCTACATACCAAGAATTTCTACCTAATATAACAGGAATCCTCAGTTTATAAGAATCCCCCATCACATGAATTCCACCCTGATTCCCCAGCAATGGCCCTATTTAGCAATTCTCTAATAATACTCTCCATGGGCACCAGCAAATATGCCAACATGACCATTACCTTCCATTCAAACTTGTTCTGACTTGAGGCATCATCTCTCACATACTGAATGACTCCAAGATCTTTCCAGATCCTAGGTTGACCTCAGAATCCCTGATCTCAACTTGATCTTATTACAACCTTGCTTTTTGCCATCCTCTTTGGAACTTGACCTCTTGCCCATAGTAATCCCTTTATAATTTTCCAGAACTACTTGGTTATCATCAGGGTCACCCTGATGCCAACCCTGATCGTCCTCCCTAATCCCTCATGACCTCTTGAGCCTATCATGACTCCTTGATTCCCCTTGAACTTGTGAGGCCATCATGAATCCACCAAGGCCCTCTAACCTCACTATGCCTTCCCCAGAATTCTTTTTTGCCTCACCAAGCTTTCTGGCCCATTGGGATCCCCAGACTCCTGCTCTCATTGTCGGCATCAGTCATCTCACCCAATCTCTCCCTTTCCCTCCTCAGGCTAATCCAAGAGGAGAAGGAGACAACAGAACAAAGGGCAGAAGAGCTGGAGAGCCGGGTGTCTGGCTCCGGCCTGGACTCACTGGGCCGCTACCGCAGTAGCTGCTCACTACCCCCATCCCTCACCACCTCTACCCTAGCCAGCCCATCCCCTCCCAGCTCCGGCCACTCAACACCCCGCCTGGCACCCCCTAGCCCTGCCCGTGAGGGCACCGACAAAGCTGTGAGTGTTCTGAA